GGGTGATTGCAGAGGTGGGTGATTGTAGAGGTGGGTGATTGTAGAGGTGGGTGATTGCAGAGGTGGGTGATTGCAGAGGTGGGTGATTGCAGAGGTGGGTGATTGCAGAGGTGGGTGATTGCAGAGGTGGGTGATTGTAGAGGTGGGTGATTGTAGAGGTGGGTGATTGTAGAGGTGGGTGATTGTAGAGGTGGGTGATTGCAGAGGTGGGTGATTGCAGAGGTGGGTGATTGCAGAGGTGGGTGATTGCAGAGGTGGGTGATTGCAGAGGTGGGTGATTGCAGAGGTGGGTGATTGCAGAGGTGGGTGATTGCAGAGGTGGGTGATTGTAGAGGTGGGTGATTGCAGAGGTGGGTGATTGCAGAGGTGCGTGATTGCAGAGGTGGGTGATTGCAGAGGTGGGTGATTGCAGAGGTGGGTGATTGTAGAGGTGGGTGATTGCAGAGGTGGGTGATTGTAGAGGTGGGTGATTGCAGAGGTGGGTGATTGCAGAGGTGGGTGATTGCAGAGGTGGGTGATTGTAGAGGTGGGTGATTGTAGAGGTGGGTGATTGTAGAGGTGGGTGATTGTAGAGGTGGGTGATTGCAGAGGTGGGTGATTGCAGAGGTGGGTGATTGCAGAGGTGGGTGATTGCAGAGGTGGGTGATTGCAGAGGTGGGTGATTGCAGAGGTGGGTGATTGTAGAGGTGGGTGATTGTAGAGGTGGGTGATTGTAGAGGTGGGTGATTGCAGAGGTGGGTGATTGCAGAGGTGGGTGATTGCAGAGGTGGGTGATTGTAGAGGTGGGTGATTGCAGAGGTGGGTGATTGTAGAGGTGGGTGATTGCAGAGGTGGGTGATTGCAGAGGTGGGTGATTGCAGAGGTGGGTGATTGTAGAGGTGGGTGATTGTAGAGGTGGGTGATTGCAGAGGTGGGTGATTGCAGAGGTGGGTGATTGCAGAGGTGGGTGATTGCAGAGGTGGGTGATTGTAGAGGTGGGTGATTGTAGAGGTGGGTGATTGTAGAGGTGGGTGATTGTAGAGGTGGGTGATTGTAGAGGTGGGTGATTGCAGAGGTGGGTGATTGCAGAGGTGGGTGATTGCAGAGGTGGGTGATTGTAGAGGTGGGTGATTGCAGAGGTGGGTGATTGTAGAGGTGGGTGATTGCAGAGGTGGGTGATTGCAGAGGTGGGTGATTGCAGAGGTGGGTGATTGCAGAGGTGGGTGATTGCAGAGGTGGGTGATTGCAGAGGTGGGTGATTGTAGAGGTGGGTGATTGTAGAGGTGGGTGATTGTAGAGGTGGGTGATTGCAGAGGTGGGTGATTGCAGAGGTGGGTGATTGCAGAGGTGGGTGATTGTATAGGTGGGTGATTGCAGAGGTGGGTGATTGCAGAGGTGGGTGATTGCAGAGGTGGGTGATTGCAGAGGTGGGTGATTGTAGAGGTGGGTGATTGCAGAGGTGGGTGATTGCAGAGGTGGGTGATTGCAGAGGTGGGTGATTGTATAGGTGGGTGATTGTAAAGGTGGGTGATTGCAGAGGTGGGTGATTGCAGAGGTGGGTGATTGCAGAGGTGGGTGATTGCAGAGGTGGGTGATTGTAGAGGTGGGTGATTGTAGAGGTGGGTGATTGTAGAGGTGGGTGATTGCAGAGGTGGGTGATTGCAGAGGTGGGTGATTGCAGAGGTGGGTGATTGTAGAGGTGGGTGATTGCAGAGGTGGGTGATTGCAGAGGTGGGTGATTGTAGAGGTGGGTGATTGCAGAGGTGGGTGATTGCAGAGGTGGGTGATTGCAGAGGTGGGTGATTGCAGAGGTGGGTGATTGTAGAGGTGGGTGATTGCAGAGGTGGGTGATTGCAGAGGTGGGTGATTGCAGAGGTGGGTGATTGCAGAGGTGGGTGATTGCAGAGGTGGGTGATTGTAGAGGTGGGTGATTGTAGAGGTGGGTGATTGTAGAGGTGGGTGATTGTAGAGGTGGGTGATTGCAGAGGTGGGTGATTGCAGAGGTGGGTGATTGCAGAGGTGGGTGATTGCAGAGGTGGGTGATTGCAGAGGTGGGTGATTGCAGAGGTGGGTGATTGCAGAGGTGGGTGATTGCAGAGGTGGGTGATTGTAGAGGTGGGTGATTGCAGAGGTGGGTGATTGCAGAGGTGCGTGATTGCAGAGGTGGGTGATTGCAGAGGTGGGTGATTGTATAGGTGGGTGATTGTAGAGGTGGGTGATTGCAGAGGTGGGTGATTGCAGAGGTGGGTGATTGCAGAGGTGGGTGATTGCAGAGGTGGGTGATTGCAGAGGTGGGTGATTGTAGAGGTGGGTGATTGTAGAGGTGGGTGATTGCAGAGGTGGGTGATTTCAGAGGTGGGTGATTGCAGAGGTGGGTGATTGCAGAGGTGGGTGATTGTAGAGGTGGGTGATTGTAGAGGTGGGTGATTGTAGAGGTGGGTGATTGCAGAGGTGGGTGATTGCAGAGGTGGGTGATTGCAGAGGTGGGTGATTGTAGAGGTGGGTGATTGCAGAGGTGGGTCATTGTAGAGGTGGGTGATTGTAGAGGTGGGTGATTGTAGAGGTGGGTGATTGTAGAGGTGGGTGATTGCAGAGGTGGGTGATTGCAGAGGTGGGTGATTGCAGAGGTGGGTGATTGCAGAGGTGGGTGATTGCAGAGGTGGGTGATTGCAGAGGTGGGTGATTGCAGAGGTGGGTGATTGCAGAGGTGGGTGATTGTAGAGGTGGGTGATTGCAGAGGTGGGTGATTGCAGAGGTGCGTGATTGCAGAGGTGGGTGATTGCAGAGGTGGGTGATTGTATAGGTGGGTGATTGTAGAGGTGGGTGATTGCAGAGGTGGGTGATTGCAGAGGTGGGTGATTGCAGAGGTGGGTGATTGCAGAGGTGGGTGATTGCAGAGGTGGGTGATTGTAGAGGTGGGTGATTGTAGAGGTGGGTGATTGCAGAGGTGGGTGATTTCAGAGGTGGGTGATTGCAGAGGTGGGTGATTGCAGAGGTGGGTGATTGTAGAGGTGGGTGATTGTAGAGGTGGGTGATTGTAGAGGTGGGTGATTGCAGAGGTGGGTGATTGCAGAGGTGGGTGATTGCAGAGGTGGGTGATTGCAGAGGTGGGTGATTGCAGAGGTGGGTGATTGTAGAGGTGGGTGATTGTAGAGGTGGGTGATTGTAGAGGTGGGTGATTGTAGAGGTGGGTGATTGCAGAGGTGGGTGATTGCAGAGGTGGGTGATTGCAGAGGTGGGTGATTGCAGAGGTGGGTGATTGCAGAGGTGGGTGATTGCAGAGGTGGGTGATTGCAGAGGTGGGTGATTGCAGAGGTGGGTGATTGTAGAGGTGGGTGATTGCAGAGGTGGGTGATTGCAGAGGTGCGTGATTGCAGAGGTGGGTGATTGCAGAGGTGGGTGATTGTATAGGTGGGTGATTGTAGAGGTGGGTGATTGCAGAGGTGGGTGATTGCAGAGGTGGGTGATTGCAGAGGTGGGTGATTGCAGAGGTGGGTGATTGCAGAGGTGGGTGATTGTAGAGGTGGGTGATTGTAGAGGTGGGTGATTGCAGAGGTGGGTGATTTCAGAGGTGGGTGATTGCAGAGGTGGGTGATTGCAGAGGTGGGTGATTGTAGAGGTGGGTGATTGTAGAGGTGGGTGATTGCAGAGGTGGGTGATTGCAGAGGTGGGTGATTGCAGAGGTGGGTGATTGCAGAGGTGGGTGATTGTAGAGGTGGGTGATTGCAGAGGTGGGTGATTGCAGAGGTGGGTGATTGCAGAGGTGGGTGATTGCAGAGGTGGGTGATTGTAGAGGTGGGTGATTGTAGAGGTGGGTGATTGCAGAGGTGGGTGATTGCAGAGGTGGGTGATTGCAGAGGTGGGTGATTGCAGAGGTGGGTGATTGTAGAGGTGGGTGATTGCAGAGGTGGGTGATTGCAGAGGTGGGTGATTGCAGAGGTGGGTGATTGCAGAGGTGGGTGATTGCAGAGGTGGGTGATTGCAGAGGTGGGTGATTGCAGAGGTGGGTGATTGCAGAGGTGGGTGATTGTAGAGGTGGGTGATTGTAGAGGTGGGTGATTGTAGAGGTGGGTGATTGCAGAGGTGGGTGATTGCAGAGGTGGGTGATTGCAGAGGTGGGTGATTGCAGAGGTGGGTGATTGTAGAGGTGGGTGATTGCAGAGGTGGGTGATTGCAGAGGTGGGTGATTGCAGAGGTGGGTGATTGCAGAGGTGGGTGATTGTAGAGGTGGGTGATTGCAGAGGTGGGTGATTGCAGAGGTGGGTGATTGCAGAGGTGGGTGATTGTAGAGGTGGGTGATTGCAGAGGTGGGTGATTGCAGAGGTGCGTGATTGCAGAGGTGGGTGATTGCAGAGGTGGGTGATTGCAGAGGTGGGTGATTGCAGAGGTGGGTGATTGTAGAGGTGGGTGATTGTAGAGGTGGGTGATTGCAGAGGTGGGTGATTGCAGAGGTGGGTGATTGCAGAGGTGGGTGATTGCAGAGGTGGGTGATTGCAGAGGTGGGTGATTGCAGAGGTGGGTGATTGTAGAGGTGGGTGATTGCAGAGGTGGGTGATTGCAGAGGTGGGTGATTGCAGAGGTGGGTGATTGCAGAGGTGGGTGATTGTAGAGGTGGGTGATTGCAGAGGTGGGTGATTGCAGAGGTGGGTGATTGCAGAGGTGGGTGATTGCAGAGGTGGGTGATTTCAGAGGTGGGTGATTGCAGAGGTGGGTGATTGCAGAGGTGGGTGATTGCAGAGGTGGGTGATTGCAGAGGTGGGTGATTGCAGAGGTGGGTGATTGTAGAGGTGGGTGATTGCAGAGGTGGGTGATTGCAGAGGTGCGTGATTGCAGAGGTGGGTGATTGCAGAGGTGGGTGATTGTATAGGTGGGTGATTGTAGAGGTGGGTGATTGCAGAGGTGGGTGATTGCAGAGGTGGGTGATTGCAGAGGTGGGTGATTGCAGAGGTGGGTGATTGCAGAGGTGGGTGATTGTAGAGGTGGGTGATTGTAGAGGTGGGTGATTGCAGAGGTGGGTGATTTCAGAGGTGGGTGATTGCAGAGGTGGGTGATTGCAGAGGTGGGTGATTGTAGAGGTGGGTGATTGTAGAGGTGGGTGATTGTAGAGGTGGGTGATTGCAGAGGTGGGTGATTGCAGAGGTGGGTGATTGCAGAGGTGGGTGATTGTAGAGGTGGGTGATTGCAGAGGTGGGTGATTGTAGAGGTGGGTGATTGTAGAGGTGGGTGATTGTAGAGGTGGGTGATTGTAGAGGTGGGTGATTGCAGAGGTGGGTGATTGCAGAGGTGGGTGATTGCAGAGGTGGGTGATTGCAGAGGTGGGTGATTGCAGAGGTGGGTGATTGCAGAGGTGGGTGATTGCAGAGGTGGGTGATTGCAGAGGTGGGTGATTGTAGAGGTGGGTGATTGCAGAGGTGGGTGATTGCAGAGGTGCGTGATTGCAGAGGTGGGTGATTGCAGAGGTGGGTGATTGTATAGGTGGGTGATTGTAGAGGTGGGTGATTGCAGAGGTGGGTGATTGCAGAGGTGGGTGATTGCAGAGGTGGGTGATTGCAGAGGTGGGTGATTGCAGAGGTGGGTGATTGTAGAGGTGGGTGATTGTAGAGGTGGGTGATTGCAGAGGTGGGTGATTTCAGAGGTGGGTGATTGCAGAGGTGGGTGATTGCAGAGGTGGGTGATTGTAGAGGTGGGTGATTGTAGAGGTGGGTGATTGTAGAGGTGGGTGATTGCAGAGGTGGGTGATTGCAGAGGTGGGTGATTGCAGAGGTGGGTGATTGTAGAGGTGGGTGATTGCAGAGGTGGGTGATTGTAGAGGTGGGTGATTGTAGAGGTGGGTGATTGTAGAGGTGGGTGATTGTAGAGGTGGGTGATTGCAGAGGTGGGTGATTGCAGAGGTGGGTGATTGCAGAGGTGGGTGATTGCAGAGGTGGGTGATTGCAGAGGTGGGTGATTGCAGAGGTGGGTGATTGCAGAGGTGGGTGATTGCAGAGGTGGGTGATTGTAGAGGTGGGTGATTGCAGAGGTGGGTGATTGCAGAGGTGCGTGATTGCAGAGGTGGGTGATTGCAGAGGTGGGTGATTGTATAGGTGGGTGATTGTAGAGGTGGGTGATTGCAGAGGTGGGTGATTGCAGAGGTGGGTGATTGCAGAGGTGGGTGATTGCAGAGGTGGGTGATTGCAGAGGTGGGTGATTGTAGAGGTGGGTGATTGTAGAGGTGGGTGATTGCAGAGGTGGGTGATTTCAGAGGTGGGTGATTGCAGAGGTGGGTGATTGCAGAGGTGGGTGATTGTAGAGGTGGGTGATTGTAGAGGTGGGTGATTGCAGAGGTGGGTGATTGCAGAGGTGGGTGATTGCAGAGGTGGGTGATTGCAGAGGTGGGTGATTGTAGAGGTGGGTGATTGCAGAGGTGGGTGATTGTAGAGGTGGGTGATTGCAGAGGTGGGTGATTGCAGAGGTGGGTGATTGCAGAGGTGGGTGATTGAAGAGGTGGGTGATTGCAGAGGTGGGTGATTGCAGAGGTGGGTGATTGCAGAGGTGGTGATTGTAGAGGTGGGTGATTGCAGAGGTGGGTGATTGCAGAGGTGGGTGATTGCAGAGGTGGGTGATTGCAGAGGTGGGTGATTGTAGAGGTGGGTGATTGTAGAGGTGGGTGATTGTAGAGGTGGGTGATTGCAGAGGTGGGTGATTGCAGAGGTGGGTGATTGCAGAGGTGGGTGATTGCAGAGGTGGGTGATTGTAGAGGTGGGTGATTGCAGAGGTGGGTGATTGTAGAGGTGGGTGATTGCAGAGGTGGGTGATTGCAGAGGTGGGTGATTGCAGAGGTGGGTGATTGCAGAGGTGGGTGATTGTAGAGGTGGGTGATTGCAGAGGTGGGTGATTGCAGAGGTGGGTGATTGCAGAGGTGGGTGATTGCAGAGGTGGGTGATTGTAGAGGTGGGTGATTGTAGAGGTGGGTGATTGTAGAGGTGGGTGATTGCAGAGGTGGGTGATTGCAGAGGTGGGTGATTGCAGAGGTGGGTGATTGCAGAGGTGGGTGATTGTAGAGGTGGGTGATTGTAGAGGTGGGTGATTGCAGAGGTGGGTGATTGCAGAGGTGGGTGATTGCAGAGGTGGGTGATTGCAGAGGTGGGTGATTGTAGAGGTGGGTGATTGTAGAGGTGGGTGATTGTAGAGGTGGGTGATTGCAGAGGTGGGTGATTGCAGAGGTGGGTGATTGCAGAGGTGGGTGATTGTAGAGGTGGGTGATTGCAGAGGTGGGTGATTGTAGAGGTGGGTGATTGCAGAGGTGGGTGATTGCAGAGGTGGGTGATTGCAGAGGTGGGTGATTGTAGAGGTGGGTGATTGTAGAGGTGGGTGATTGCAGAGGTGGGTGATTGCAGAGGTGGGTGATTGCAGAGGTGGGTGATTGCAGAGGTGGGTGATTGTAGAGGTGGGTGATTGTAGAGGTGGGTGATTGTAGAGGTGGGTGATTGTAGAGGTGGGTGATTGTAGAGGTGGGTGATTGCAGAGGTGGGTGATTGCAGAGGTGGGTGATTGCAGAGGTGGGTGATTGTAGAGGTGGGTGATTGCAGAGGTGGGTGATTGTAGAGGTGGGTGATTGCAGAGGTGGGTGATTGCAGAGGTGGGTGATTGCAGAGGTGGGTGATTGCAGAGGTGGGTGATTGCAGAGGTGGGTGATTGCAGAGGTGGGTGATTGCAGAGGTGGGTGATTGCAGAGGTGGGTGATTGTATAGGTGGGTGATTGCAGAGGTGGGTGATTGCAGAGGTGGGTGATTGCAGAGGTGGGTGATTGCAGAGGTGGGTGATTGCAGAGGTGGGTGATTGTAGAGGTGGGTGATTGCAGAGGTGGGTGATTGCAGAGGTGGGTGATTGCAGAGGTGGGTGATTGTATAGGTGGGTGATTGTAAAGGTGGGTGATTGCAGAGGTGGGTGATTGCAGAGGTGGGTGATTGCAGAGGTGGGTGATTGCAGAGGTGGGTGATTGTAGAGGTGGGTGATTGTAGAGGTGGGTGATTGTAGAGGTGGGTGATTGCAGAGGTGGGTGATTGCAGAGGTGGGTGATTCCAGAGGTGGGTGATTGTAGAGGTGGGTGATTGCAGAGGTGGGTGATTGCAGAGGTGGGTGATTGTAGAGGTGGGTGATTGCAGAGGTGGGTGATTGCAGAGGTGGGTGATTGCAGAGGTGGGTGATTGCAGAGGTGGGTGATTGTAGAGGTGGGTGATTGCAGAGGTGGGTGATTGCAGAGGTGGGTGATTGCAGAGGTGGGTGATTGCAGAGGTGGGTGATTGCAGAGGTGGGTGATTGTAGAGGTGGGTGATTGTAGAGGTGGGTGATTGTAGAGGTGGGTGATTGTAGAGGTGGGTGATTGCAGAGGTGGGTGATTGCAGAGGTGGGTGATTGCAGAGGTGGGTGATTGCAGAGGTGGGTGATTGCAGAGGTGGGTGATTGCAGAGGTGGGTGATTGCAGAGGTGGGTGATTGCAGAGGTGGGTGATTGCAGAGGTGGGTGATTGTAGAGGTGGGTGATTGCAGAGGTGGGTGATTGCAGAGGTGGGTGATTGCAGAGGTGGGTGATTGCAGAGGTGGGTGATTGTATAGGTGGGTGATTGTAGAGGTGGGTGATTGCAGAGGTGGGTGATTGCAGAGGTGGGTGATTGCAGAGGTGGGTGATTGCAGAGGTGGGTGATTGCAGAGGTGGGTGATTGTAGAGGTGGGTGATTGTAGAGGTGGGTGATTGCAGAGGTGGGTGATTGCAGAGGTGGGTGATTGCAGAGGTGGGTGATTGCAGAGGTGGGTGATTGCAGAGGTGGGTGATTGTAGAGGTGGGTGATTGTAGAGGTGGGTGATTGCAGAGGTGGGTGATTGCAGAGGTGGGTGATTGCAGAGGTGGGTGATTGCAGAGGTGGGTGATTGTAGAGGTGGGTGATTGCAGAGGTGGGTGATTGCAGAGGTGGGTGATTGCAGAGGTGGGTGATTGCAGAGGTGGGTGATTGCAGAGGTGGGTGATTGCAGAGGTGGGTGATTGCAGAGGTGGGTGATTGCAGAGGTGGGTGATTGCAGAGGTGGGTGATTGTAGAGGTGGGTGATTGCAGAGGTGGGTGATTGCAGAGGTGGGTGATTGCAGAGGTGGGTGATTGCAGAGGTGGGTGATTGCAGAGGTGGGTGATTGTAGAGGTGGGTGATTGTAGAGGTGGGTGATTGTAGAGGTGGGTGATTGCAGAGGTGGGTGATTGCAGAGGTGGGTGATTGCAGAGGTGGGTGATTGTAGAGGTGGGTGATTGCAGAGGTGGGTGATTGCAGAGGTGGGTGATTGTAGAGGTGGGTGATTGCAGAGGTGGGTGATTGCAGAGGTGGGTGATTGCAGAGGTGGGTGATTGCAGAGGTGGGTGATTGCAGAGGTGGGTGATTGCAGAGGTGGGTGATTGTAGAGGTGGGTGATTGTAGAGGTGGGTGATTGTAGAGGTGGGTGATTGCAGAGGTGGGTGATTGCAGAGGTGGGTGATTGCAGAGGTGGGTGATTGTATAGGTGGGTGATTGCAGAGGTGGGTGATTGCAGAGGTGGGTGATTGCAGAGGTGGGTGATTGCAGAGGTGGGTGATTGTAGAGGTGGGTGATTGCAGAGGTGGGTGATTGCAGAGGTGGGTGATTGTATAGGTGGGTGATTGTAGAGGTGGGTGATTGCAGAGGTGGGTGATTGCAGAGGTGGGTGATTGCAGAGGTGGGTGATTGTAGAGGTGGGTGATTGTAGAGGTGGGTGATTGTAGAGGTGGGTGATTGCAGAGGTGGGTGATTGCAGAGGTGGGTGATTGCAGAGGTGGGTGATTGCAGAGGTGGGTGATTGCAGAGGTGGGTGATTGCAGAGGTGGGTGATTGCAGAGGTGGGTGATTGCAGAGGTGGGTGATTGTAGAGGTGGGTGATTGCAGAGGTGGGTGATTGCAGAGGTGGGTGATTGCAGAGGTGGGTGATTGCAGAGGTGGGTGATTGGAGAGGTGGGTGATTGCAGAGGTGGGTGATTGCAGAGGTGGGTGATTGCAGAGGTGGTTGATTGCAGAGGTGGGTGATTGCAGAGGTGGGTGATTGCAGAGGTGGGTGATTGTAGAGGTGGGTGATTGTAGAGGTGGGTGATTGTAGAGGTGGGTGATTGCAGAGGTGGGTGATTGCAGAGGTGGGTGATTGCAGAGGTGGGTGATTGCAGAGGTGGGTGATTGCAGAGGTGGGTGATTGCAGAGGTGGGTGATTGCAGAGGTGGGTGATTGCAGAGGTGGGTGATTGTAGAGGTGGGTGATTGCAGAGGTGGGTGATTGCAGAGGTGGGTGATTGCAGAGGTGGGTGATTGCAGAGGTGGGTGATTGTATAGGTGGGTGATTGTAGAGGTGGGTGATTGTAGAGGTGGGTGATTGCAGAGGTGGGTGATTGCAGAGGTGGGTGATTGCAGAGGTGGGTGATTGCAGAGGTGGGTGATTGCAGAGGTGGGTGATTGTAGAGGTGGGTGATTGTAGAGGTGGGTGATTGCAGAGGTGGGTGATTGCAGAGGTGGGTGATTGCAGAGGTGGGTGATTGCAGAGGTGGGTGATTGTAGAGGTGGGTGATTGTAGAGGTGGGTGATTGTAGAGGTGGGTGATTGCAGAGGTGGGTGATTGCAGAGGTGGGTGATTGCAGAGGTGGGTGATTGCAGAGGTGGGTGATTGCAGAGGTGGGTGATTGTAGAGGTGGGTGATTGCAGAGGTGGGTGATTGCAGAGGTGGGTGATTGCAGAGGTGGGTGATTGTAGAGGTGGGTGATTGCAGAGGTGGGTGATTGCAGAGGTGGGTGATTGTAGAGGTGGGTGATTGTAGAGGTGGGTGATTGTAGAGGTGGGTGATTGCAGAGGTGGGTGATTGCAGAGGTGGGTGATTGCAGAGGTGGGTGATTGCAGAGGTGGGTGATTGCAGAGGTGGGTGATTGCAGAGGTGGGTGATTGCAGAGGTGGGTGATTGCAGAGGTGGGTGATTGCAGAGGTGGGTGATTGTAGAGGTGGGTGATTGCAGAGGTGGGTGATTGCAGAGGTGGGTGATTGCAGAGGTGGGTGATTGCAGAGGTGGGTGATTGTATAGGTGGGTGATTGTAGAGGTGGGTGATTGCAGAGGTGGGTGATTGCAGAGGTGGGTGATTGCAGAGGTGGGTGATTGCAGAGGTGGGTGATTGCAGAGGTGGGTGATTGTAGAGGTGGGTGATTGTAGAGGTGGGTGATTGCAGAGGTGGGTGATTGCAGAGGTGGGTGATTGCAGAGGTGGGTGATTGCAGAGGTGGGTGATTGCAGAGGTGGGTGATTGCAGAGGTGGGTGATTGTAGAGGTGGGTGATTGTAGAGGTGGGTGATTGCAGAGGTGGGTGATTGCAGAGGTGGGTGATTGCAGAGGTGGGTGATTGCAGAGGTGGGTGATTGCAGAGGTGGGTGATTGCAGAGGTGGGTGATTGCAGAGGTGGGTGATTGCAGAGGTGGGTGATTGCAGAGGTGGGTGATTGCAGAGGTGGGTGATTGCAGAGGTGGGTGATTGCAGAGGTGGGTGATTGCAGAGGTGGGTGATTGTAGAGGTGGGTGATTGCAGAGGTGGGTGATTGCAGAGGTGGGTGATTGCAGAGGTGGGTGATTGCAGAGGTGGGTGATTGCAGAGGTGGGTGATTGTAGAGGTGGGTGATTGTAGAGGTGGGTGATTGTAGAGGTGGGTGATTGCAGAGGTGGGTGATTGCAGAGGTGGGTGATTGCAGAGGTGGGTGATTGTAGAGGTGGGTGATTGCAGAGGTGGGTGATTGCAGAGGTGGGTGATTGTAGAGGTGGGTGATTGCAGAGGTGGGTGATTGCAGAGGTGGGTGATTGCAGAGGTGGGTGATTGCAGAGGTGGGTGATTGCAGAGGTGGGTGATTGCAGAGGTGGGTGATTGTAGAGGTGGGTGATTGTAGAGGTGGGTGATTGTAGAGGTGGGTGATTGCAGAGGTGGGTGATTGCAGAGGTGGGTGATTGCAGAGGTGGGTGATTGTATAGGTGGGTGATTGCAGAGGTGGGTGATTGCAGAGGTGGGTGATTGCAGAGGTGGGTGATTGCAGAGGTGGGTGATTGTAGAGGTGGGTGATTGCAGAGGTGGGTGATTGCAGAGGTGGGTGATTGTATAGGTGGGTGATTGTAGAGGTGGGTGATTGCAGAGGTGGGTGATTGCAGAGGTGGGTGATTGCAGAGGTGGGTGATTGTAGAGGTGGGTGATTGTAGAGGTGGGTGATTGTAGAGGTGGGTGATTGCAGAGGTGGGTGATTGCAGAGGTGGGTGATTGCAGAGGTGGGTGATTGCAGAGGTGGGTGATTGCAGAGGTGGGTGATTGCAGAGGTGGGTGATTGCAGAGGTGGGTGATTGCAGAGGTGGGTGATTGTAGAGGTGGGTGATTGCAGAGGTGGGTGATTGCAGAGGTGGGTGATTGCAGAGGTGGGTGATTGCAGAGGTGGGTGATTGGAGAGGTGGGTGATTGCAGAGGTGGGTGATTGCAGAGGTGGGTGATTGCAGAGGTGGTTGATTGCAGAGGTGGGTGATTGCAGAGGTGGGTGATTGCAGAGGTGGGTGATTGTAGAGGTGGGTGATTGTAGAGGTGGGTGATTGTAGAGGTGGGTGATTGCAGAGGTGGGTGATTGCAGAGGTGGGTGATTGCAGAGGTGGGTGATTGCAGAGGTGGGTGATTGCAGAGGTGGGTGATTGCAGAGGTGGGTGATTGCAGAGGTGGGTGATTGCAGAGGTGGGTGATTGTAGAGGTGGGTGATTGCAGAGGTGGGTGATTGCAGAGGTGGGTGATTGCAGAGGTGGGTGATTGCAGAGGTGGGTGATTGTATAGGTGGGTGATTGTAGAGGTGGGTGATTGTAGAGGTGGGTGATTGCAGAGGTGGGTGATTGCAGAGGTGGGTGATTGCAGAGGTGGGTGATTGCAGAGGTGGGTGATTGCAGAGGTGGGTGATTGTAGAGGTGGGTGATTGTAGAGGTGGGTGATTGCAGAGGTGGGTGATTGCAGAGGTGGGTGATTGCAGAGGTGGGTGATTGCAGAGGTGGGTGATTGTAGAGGTGGGTGATTGTAGAGGTGGGTGATTGTAGAGGTGGGTGATTGCAGAGGTGGGTGATTGCAGAGGTGGGTGATTGCAGAGGTGGGTGATTGCAGAGGTGGGTGATTGCAGAGGTGGGTGATTGTAGAGGTGGGTGATTGCAGAGGTGGGTGATTGCAGAGGTGGGTGATTGCAGAGGTGGGTGATTGTAGAGGTGGGTGATTGCAGAGGTGGGTGATTGCAGAGGTGGGTGATTGTAGAGGTGGGTGATTGCAGAGGTGGGTGATTGCAGAGGTGGGTGATTGCAGAGGTGGGTGATTGCAGAGGTGGGTGATTGCAGAGGTGGGTGATTGTAGAGGTGGGTGATTGTAGAGGTGGGTGATTGCAGAGGTGGGTGATTGCAGAGGTGGGTGATTGCAGAGGTGGGTGATTGCAGAGGTGGGTGATTGTAGAGGTGGGTGATTGCAGAGGTGGGTGATTGTAGAGGTGGGTGATTGCAGAGGTGGGTGATTGCAGAGGTGGGTGATTGCAGAGGTGGGTGATTGCAGAGGTGGGTGATTGCAGAGGTGGGTGATTGTAGAGGTGGGTGATTGTAGAGGTGGGTGATTGTAGAGGTGGGTGATTGCAGAGGTGGGTGATTGCAGAGGTGGGTGATTGCAGAGGTGGGTGATTGCAGAGGTGGGTGATTGTATAGGTGGGTGATTGCAGAGCTGGGTGATTGCAGAGCTGGGTGATTGCAGAGGTGGGTGATTGCAGAGGTGGGTGATTGTAGAGGTGGGTGATTGCAGAGGTGGGTGATTGCAGAGGTGGGTGATTGCAGAGGTGGGTGATTGCAGAGGTGGGTGATTGTAGAGGTGGGTGATTGTAGAGGTGGGTGATTGCAGAGGTGGGTGATTGCAGAGGTGGGTGATTGCAGAGGTGGGTGATTGTAGAGGTGGGTGATTGTAGAGGTGGGTGATTGTAGAGGTGGGTGATTGCAGAGGTGGGTGATTGCAGAGGTGGGTGATTGCAGAGGTGGGTGATTGCAGAGGTGGGTGATTGTAGAGGTGGGTGATTGCAGAGGTGGGTGATTGCAGAGGTGGGTGATTGCAGAGGTGGGTGATTGCAGAGGTGGGTGATTGCAGAGGTGGGTGATTGTAGAGGTGGGTGATTGTAGAGGTGGGTGATTGTAGAGGTGGGTGATTGTAGAGGTGGGTGATTGTAGAGGTGGGTGATTGCAGAGGTGGGTGATTGCAGAGGTGGGTGATTGCAGAGGTGGGTGATTGTAGAGGTGGGTGATTGCAGAGGTGGGTGATTGTAGAGGTGGGTGATTGCAGAGGTGGGTGATTGCAGAGGTGGGTGATTGCAGAGGTGGGTGATTGTAGAGGTGGGTGATTGCAGAGGTGGGTGATTGCAGAGGTGGGTGATTGCAGAGGTGGGTGATTGCAGAGGTGGGTGATTGCAGAGGTGGGTGATTGTAGAGGTGGGTGATTGTAGAGGTGGGTGATTGTAGAGGTGGGTGATTGTAGAGGTGGGTGATTGCAGAGGTGGGTGATTGCAGAGGTGGGTGATTGCAGAGGTGGGTGATTGTAGAGGTGGGTGATTGCAGAGGTGGGTGATTGGAGAGGTGGGTGATTGCAGAGGTGGGTGATTGCAGAGGTGGGTGATTGCAGAGGTGGGTGATTGCAGAGGTGGGTGATTGCAGAGGTGGGTGATTGCAGAGGTGGGTGATTGCAGAGGTGGGTGATTGTAGAGGTGGGTGATTGTAGAGGTGGGTGATTGCAGAGGTGGGTGATTGCAGAGGTGGGTGATTGCAGAGGTGGGTGATTGTATAGGTGGGTGATTGCAGAGGTGGGTGATTGCAGAGGTGGGTGATTGCAGAGGTGGGTGATTGCAGAGGTGGGTGATTGCAGAGGTGGGTGATTGTAGAGGTGGGTGATTGCAGAGGTGGGTGATTGCAGAGGTGGGTGATTGCAGAGGTGGGTGATTGTATAGGTGGGTGATTGTAAAGGTGGGTGATTGCAGAGGTGGGTGATTGCAGAGGTGGGTGATTGCAGAGGTGGGTGATTGCAGAGGTGGGTGATTGTAGAGGTGGGTGATTGTAGAGGTGGGTGATTGTAGAGGTGGGTGATTGCAGAGGTGGGTGATTGCAGAGGTGGGTGATTCCAGAGGTGGGTGATTGTAGAGGTGGGTGATTGCAGAGGTGGGTGATTGCAGAGGTGGGTGATTGCAGAGGTGGGTGATTGCAGAGGTGGGTGATTGCAGAGGTGGGTGATTGCAGAGGTGGGTGATTGCAGAGGTGGGTGATTGTAGAGGTGGGTGATTGCAGAGGTGGGTGATTGCAGAGGTGGGTGATTGCAGAGGTGGGTGATAGCAGAGGTGGGTGATTGCAGAGGTGGGTGATTGTAGAGGTGGGTGATTGTAGAGGTGGGTGATTGTAGAGGTGGGTGATTGTAGAGGTGGGTGATTGCAGAGGTGGGTGATTGCAGAGGTGGGTGATTGCAGAGGTGGGTGATTGCAGAGGTGGGTGATTGCAGAGGTGGGTGATTGCAGAGGTGGGTGATTGCAGAGGTGGGTGATTGCAGAGGTGGGTGATTGCAGAGGTGGGTGATTGTAGAGGTGGGTGATTGCAGAGGTGGGTGATTGCAGAGGTGGGTGATTGCAGAGGTGGGTGATTGCAGAGGTGGGTGATTGTATAGGTGGGTGATTGTAGAGGTGGGTGATTGCAGAGGTGGGTGATTGCAGAGGTGGGTGATTGCAGAGGTGGGTGATTGCAGAGGTGGGTGATTGCAGAGGTGGGTGATTGTAGAGGTGGGTGATTGTAGAGGTGGGTGATTGCAGAGGTGGGTGATTGCAGAGGTGGGTGATTGCAGAGGTGGGTGATTGCAGAGGTGGGTGATTGCAGAGGTGGGTGATTGTAGAGGTGGGTGATTGTAGAGGTGGGTGATTGCAGAGGTGGGTGATTGCAGAGGTGGGTGATTGCAGAGGTGGGTGATTGCAGAGGTGGGTGATTGTAGAGGTGGGTGATTGCAGAGGTGGGTGATTGCAGAGGTGGGTGATTGCAGAGGTGGGTGATTGCAGAGGTGGGTGATTGCAGAGGTGGGTGATTGCAGAGGTGGGTGATTGCAGAGGTGGGTGATTGCAGAGGTGGGTGATTGCAGAGGTGGGTGATTGCAGAGGTGGGTGATTGCAGAGGTGGGTGATTGCAGAGGTGGGTGATTGTAGAGGTGGGTGATTGTAGAGGTGGGTGATTGTAGAGGTGGGTGATTGCAGAGGTGGGTGATTGCAGAGGTGGGTGATTGCAGAGGTGGGTGATTGCAGAGGTGGGTGATTGCAGAGGTGGGTGATTGCAGAGGTGGGTGATTGCAGAGGTGGGTGATTGCAGAGGTAGGTGATTGTAGAGGTGGGTGATTGCAGAGGTGGGTGATTGCAGAGGTGGGTGATTGCAGAGGTGGGTGATTGCAGAGGTGGGTGATTGGAGAGGTGGGTGATTGCAGAGGTGGGTGATTGCAGAGGTGGGTGATTGCAGAGGTGGGTGATTGCAGAGGTGGGTGATTGCAGAGGTGGGTGATTGCAGAGGTGGGTGATTGTAGAGGTGGGTGATTGTAGAGGTGGGTGATTGTAGAGGTGGGTGATTGTAGAGGTGGGTGATTGCAGAGGTGGGTGATTGCAGAGGTGGGTGATTGCAGAGGTGGGTGATTGCAGAGGTGGGTGATTGCAGAGGTGGGTGATTGCAGAGGTGGGTGATTGCAGAGGTGGGTGATTGCAGAGGTGGGTGATTGCAGAGGTGGGTGATTGTAGAGGTGGGTGATTGCAGAGGTGGGTGATTGCAGAGGTGGGTGATTGCAGAGGTGGGTGATTGCAGAGGTGGGTGATTGTATAGGTGGGTGATTGTAGAGGTGGGTGATTGCAGAGGTGGGTGATTGCAGAGGTGGGTGATTGCAGAGGTGGGTGATTGTAGAGGTGGGTGATTGTAGAGGTGGGTGATTGTAGAGGTGGGTGATTGCAGAGGTGGGTGATTGCAGAGGTGGGTGATTGCAGAGGTGGGTGATTGCAGAGGTGGGTGATTGCAGAGGTGGGTGATTGCAGAGGTGGGTGATTGCAGAGGTGGGTGATTGCAGAGGTGGGTGATTGTAGAGGTGGGTGATTGCAGAGGTGGGTGATTGCAGAGGTGGGTGATTGCAGAGGTGGGTGATTGCAGAGGTGGGTGATTGGAGAGGTGGGTGATTGCAGAGGTGGGTGATTGCAGAGGTGGGTGATTGCAGAGGTGGGTGATTGCAGAGGTGGGTGATTGCAGAGGTGGGTGATTGCAGAGGTGGGTGATTGTAGAGGTGGGTGATTGTAGAGGTGGGTGATTGTAGAGGTGGGTGATTGTAGAGGTGGGTGATTGCAGAGGTGGGTGATTGCAGAGGTGGGTGATTGCAGAGGTGGGTGATTGCAGAGGTGGGTGATTGCAGAGGTGGGTGATTGCAGAGGTGGGTGATTGCAGAGGTGGGTCATTGCAGAGGTGGGTGATTGCAGAGGTGGGTGATTGTAGAGGTGGGTGATTGCAGAGGTGGGTGATTTCAGAGGTGGGTGATTGCAGAGGTGGGTGATTGCAGAGGTGGGTGATTGTAGAGGTGGGTGATTGTAGAGGTGGGTGATTGTAGAGGTGGGTGATTGCAGAGGTGGGTGATTGCAGAGGTGGGTGATTGCAGAGGTGGGTGATTGCAGAGGTGGGTGATTGCAGAGGTGGGTGATTGTAGAGGTGGGTGATTGTAGAGGTGGGTGATTGCAGAGGTGGGTGATTGCAGAGGTGGGTGATTGCAGAGGTGGGTGATTGCAGAGGTGGGTGATTGTAGAGGTGGGTGATTGTAGAGGTGGGTGATTGTAGAGGTGGGTGATTGCAGAGGTGGGTGATTGCAGAGGTGGGTGATTGCAGAGGTGGGTGATTGCAGAGGTGGGTGATTGCAGAGGTGGGTGATTGTAGAGGTGGGTGATTGCAGAGGTGGGTGATTGCAGAGGTGGGTGATTGCAGAGGTGGGTGATTGTAGAGGGAGAGACGGGTTTTGAGGCGTGTAAAAAATGGTGAGCAATGAGCAGCGGATGGGACGCATCAGTGGTTGTAGAGGTGCCTGTATCAACTCCAACACCCATCCCGTATGACACATGACACCGCACCACACCCCGCCTCACGACACCACCACACCGCTCTGCATCTCACCATGCCGCAGCCCACAGCGGTGGTGGTTCGCCACACGATCTGGCGGTAGTCCTCACAGTCGTCCGTGTCAGAGCACTGGTGAGGAGAAGGCTGATTTGGGGGAGATGGGAAGACAAATTGAAGGGTGGGGAGAAGGCTTGTGAGGTGTCTCAACACTCGATCTGGCGGCCGTCCCTCACAGTCGTCCGTGTCAGAGCACTCATTGTGCGCTGGCTGATGGTGGGAGGGGTGGAGGGAAGAGAATAGAGGGAGATGGGAGGGTGGGGAAGTGTGAATAGAGAGGCGGCGAGGCACACACATCAAACGAAACACATTGCCAACCAACTCATACCTTGATTGCTTCTCATATGTCACACACTCACATCATAGAATGCCTTCTCGTAGAGCCACGCAGTAATGGCGTCAGAGGGAGTGCTGCCGGCAGGGGAGGCAGCAGCAGACTCAAACCCGTACCAGCTCACACCATACGCACTGCCAGGCTGCTGCGACCAGAGGGACAGAGTGCTGCCAAATGCGTCCACTGGCCCGGCGCACACCGAACCTGCTTCTTCGGCTGCCCAGGCCTGCGCCGAGCCTGCCAGAGTGTCGCTCCAGGTCAGGTTTGGGAGCGCGGCGGATGGGCGTGGGACGGCTGTGGCTGAAACAGACGCTCTGAATGGTTACGGGAGAGGAGGGGAACGGGGAGAAAAAGAGGGGAGAATGGAAAATAATGAGGGAGTGGAGTGGTAAGGAAGTTGTGAGGGTAGGTAAGAAAGGGACCAGAGGAGTGATAGGAGTGAGAGGTGAGGCGAGAGCGTCAGCTCAACAGCTTTTCGTCTCAATTGCACTTGAAGTCGTTTCATCTCTCACCCGTCCTCCCCGCCCCACCCGCATCTGTCACCTACCCCGTTCATCTCACCCCTCCCCCGTTTCATCTCGCCTCTCCCCCGTTTCATCTCTCACCGCGCATTGTTCATCCGACTCAGCAGCATCGTACGGTCAGCAGCGCTCAAAGTGGACGGCACGGATTTTGGCCGAGTCGTTGTCGCCTTAATCTTCGCCGTTGATTCCAACTCTACTCTCCTGCTCCCCGCGGACGGGGCGGCGGGCGGAAGCGCGGCCACGCGGGAGAGGGTGACGCGGTTGCGCCACACGGGGGCGGAGGCGGGGTATGGGGGAGAATGGGCGGAGTGGAGGAAACGTGGAAGGTGTTGGGGGAGCGCGGGGGCGGCGGAGACGCGGCGCGAGTTGGCGGCGGCGGAGGCGGAAGGGAGGGCGGATGGGAGAAACGAAGCGGGTGCGTTGTGCGATGATGTCGGGGCAGACTGTAACGAGGATGGGAGGAGCAACGCGGCGCTAGATAGTCTGTGGCGAGGGAGGCGAGAGTACGGGAACGGTTGACTCGTCCCTGGCGCGAGAATGGGGGTAGGGGGAAAAGGGGTGGGGAAGGGGGGAGAGGGGAAGAGAGCAGCGGAGAGGGGGGAAGAGGAGGGCGAAAAATGAGATTTGTTTACGTGCTCGCATGCAGCATTCGCCAAACGATATGAAGTTTTGTCTTTCGAATGATACGTCGGTCGCGGCGGCTGGCGTTCGCAACCTCGTCGTAGTGGCGTCGGATATGCCACCAGCCTGGCAGCAAAACATACCCGCCTGTCGATTTTATATGTTGGCACTCACATGAATTCGCGAAGCCGGCGCCGCTCGAGGCGCTTTCCAACGGTCGTATTGCGAGTGCCACCAGCGCCAACGCGACGACTGGCAGACTGTGCGACAGGTGTCGGTCCCTGCGACGGCTGCGATTCGTCGTCGCGCAACGTCGGAAAACCATCGTCGGAACCTTTGGGCGACAAAACGCAATAATGTTTTCGCGGCGTCGTCTGGAGTGAACGAAAGCTCGCGATTTTTTTCGCGCGGTAATGGATCCTTGATGGGAATTCCGGCGTCCGACGCTTATCGACCTTTGACAGGCCGCAAGCACGCCATACCCTCTTCGTGCTGAAAAACTCCAAATTCTGGAGGTAGATAGGATGCCTCCTAGACCGAAATTTGGGCCAGACAGCTTCTGTTCTGCCATGAAAATCTGAAGCGCACTGAACAACCACAAGAATGAGCTGCATGTACGACAAACGAGACGAGGCAATAACGACGACGGTTACCCCCATTCGTGTGGTGCTAGAATGGAACAAGGGGCTTGTGACGATTTGGCGAAGGTGGTTACGTGCCTTGACAGAAATCGCTCAGTCGGCGGCGGAATGCGAAAACTGAGCGGCGAAATTGGCACTGTCGCGCGATGCGCTTGTGGATGTGGCTGGCTGACACCAACAACAGCCTTGGGATCCATGAATTTGTCGGATAGCCGCCAGTCGTTACAGTTTCGTTACTGCTGCTGGCTGACGGCGGCATGCACTGCACAGGCTTGCTCTTGGTGAAATGGCGCATGGATGGGTGATGGTGGTGAGGTGTGTCAAAATGCATTTTTCTACATCAATGTTTCACAATATAGTGCAGAGACCCTAAAAAAACCAGTGAATAATAGTGATACCGCATCAGCTAGTATAGATTATCCGCTACGTGAAAGTGGTTCACCGTCACTGAACCTAGACCAGTATGGAACACTGTTGCGGTGCCTCAGTGGTTATTGCATTAACGGGCTGAGAATAGTTGGTGCTTGACTGTGTTCGTTCCCTGCACAGCTCCTCCTGACATCTACAGGTGTCACACAGCGGCCTTCTGCGAAAAAGGCCCGCTCGGTCGTCCAAATTGTCGCAACTTCGTTTGGAAGTATGCGCACGACACAGCTGGTGGAGGTAATGTGATGGAAAACTACGTGCGAACATGTGGTTCTGTACGTTTTATCTGGGTTAGAATGGGTCGCGAACCAGCATAATGCTTGGTTGGTTTGAAGCTGAACCGTGTGTGCGATGCGACGCTGGGGAGTGGAGGGGCGCGATTGGTTTGGTTTGGACGACCGACGTGACGACGAAATTCCGAACCCAAAAATCGCAATTGTTCTGATCTGACACTCAGGCTCCAGCTCAGCATGTTTCTGCCCCACCGCTCCGACCAACAAAGCACCACCACTCCCTCGCCCATCCCCCGTCTACCCGCTGGCGCTGCTCGCTTGCTCAGCGCTCCCCCACCGCAAGCCACCTCCCCCGCTTCCGCCCCACCAATTTGCTCCCGCGAGAGCTCTGCACATAAGTCATGGCTTCCTGTCTCGCCCTCATTAGTTCAGGCAACAAGCGAGAGCCAAGCACCCACCGTTGCTTGTGAATTCGTTAGGTTTTTTCTCCGGACTGCAAGTGAAAATCGTCGTCAGCTATTACCGAACCTTTCTCCACCGCAAGCCAACGAACTAACGGCACCAACGTGCAGTACCCGCCGCCATCATGGCCTACAAATCGCCCGCGCTCGCCGTGCTTTTCGCGCTGCTCCTCGCGACGTCGCTCGCGTCCGCGGAGGTGTCGTCGGAGCGCCTCATCGACGAGGTCCGCGCGCTGACGAACGCGCTCAAGAGCCGCCCTAACTTCTCGATCATCTATCTCGCCGCGAAATACGTGCTCAAGAAGCAAGGTCAGTCCCTCGCGGCGCTCCATTTGCAGCGTAATGCCGCTTGTCCCGTGCTGTTGTCCGCGATCGGCCCATAACCCAGCTTCCGCGTTTTCTCCGCCTTCCCTCCGCCTCCCCCCGCCTCCTCCCGCCTCCCCCCGCCAGACTCTCTCCTCGCGAAATACGGCGCGGACGTGCTCCCGAACGCGGAGGCGAAAACCCTCCTCATCCCAGACAACACCGCCGTACTCCGCTACTTCAACGGCAAACTCCCCGATACCCAAGAGGAGGTCGAAGCGCACCTCGACACGGTCCTCATGAACGTTCTCGACGGGTCCTTCACGCTCGCGGAGCTCCGAAGCGGCTCGTCCTTCCCCACGGTTTACCAGGACCGCCAGCTGGTGCAGATCGATGTGGGGAAGGGGTGGTTGAAGCGCGGAACGGGGGTGGCGCTCGGGCAGGCGGGGTCGAAGCGGAGGACGTGGTCGCGGGTGAGCGACCCGGGGATGTACAAGGGCGATTTGTTCATCGCGCACGGCGTGACCAACGTGCAGGAGCCGTAGAGGGGAGCACAGTCGGTGGCTGGTGGGGCTTGGAAATTTTGGTGGTTGATTTGTTGAGGGAGGGGCCTCTTTAGATCGATATGATTTCTGTACAGCAACACTTCATCTACTTATGAACTGTTTATGAGTCACAAGTTCCTTCAATGGTGACCAATTGTAATGCATCCAGATTTGATTACACCTGGCATGACCATCCCAAGCAAAACAGAAACTTAGTATTATGTCTTGTTCATAGCCTCTGCTTCAGCAGCAGCCATAGGATCAGCTGCACCAGGCCCAACATCACCCTCCTCTTCCTCCTCCATGCTTCTATCAGCAGTAGCGCCACCCTTCAGAGCATTGGCAGCAGCTGCAGCAGCGGCTTTCTGCTCCTTGCTTAACCGTTGAATCTCCTCCTCTTGCTGTTGACGCTCAAACCATGTGTCTGCGTCCGCCCACACTGGAGTTGGAAAAAAACATGTGCAGAAAGGTACACGAGGTAGGGAGGAAGAGGGGGAGGGAAAAAGAGAGATCAAGAAGGGGAAGTATGCCAAAGGGGAAGAGGGGAAGAGGAGCTGTGAAACATAAAGAGGAAGGGAAGGGAAAGAAATTTGGCAGGTGGCAGGGCTGGAGTAAGTGTGCAAAAATTTGCATGGAAGTCACAAAGCGGAAAGGACAACGGAAGTCACAAAGCGGAAAGGACAACGGAAGTCACAAAGCGGAAAGGACAACAGTGAAGCAGGGTGAGGTGGGGTGCAAGCCAGTGGGGTGGGGTGCAAACCGTAGGCTGGACAGGCGGTAGTATAACACCCTTCCCTTGAGTAACGTGCATCATGAGCCTAACCAAAAACCACCAGAATAATCTCTTTGCACCCAGATGGTGACCACTTGCAAGACCCAGCCCTCAACCCTGAACATACAATGCCCCTTTGCCTGCACACACGACACCTGGCTGCCCTCGAAGCCCAGCCCTGAACAACACAAGAGCCCTCCTTCCTTAACCCCGCCAAATCTGCCTGCGACGCCCATTCCTCTGCCCCGCAGCACCTGGTTGCGAGGCCCAGCCCTGGGCAACACAAGAGCCTCCCTCCTTAACCAGAGCCTCCCTCCTAAACCCCGCCAAACCTGGCTGCAAAGCCCATTCCTGTGCCCTAAACGCCACCGCACCTGGTTGCGAGGCCCAGCCCTGCTCGCCGCCTTTGATCTTCTGAGGCTGCGCGATGTTGACGGTGAGCACGCGGCCGTACAGCTCGCCATTGTGCATGTTGTCCATGGCGGCCGCCGCATCCTCCTTCTCCATGTACGTCAGGAAACCGAACCCGCGGTGCTTCTGCGTCGTCTGATGGGAGAAGGGACGCGGGGCGGGAGAAAGGAGGAGACGGGATGAGGAGGGAGGGAAAAAAGGGAGGGGAGAGGGAGATTGGGAGAGAGAGGGAGGGAGGGGTTGTTCAGGCTGTGATGAGACCGCAGATGCCGTATGCGTCCACACGGGTGACAGCTTGCTGGCAGCTCGCCGTTGTGCATGTTGTCCATGGCGGCCGCCGCGTCCTCCTTCTCCATGTACGTCAGGAAGCCGAACCCGCGGTGCTTCTGCGTCGTCTGATGGGAGAAAGGACGCGGGGCGGGAGAAAGGAGGAGACGGGATGAGGAGGGAGGGGAAAACGGGAGGGGAGAGGGAGATTGGGAGAGAGAGAACGGGAGGGGTTGTTCAGGCTGTGATGAGACCGCAGATGCTGTATGCGTCCAGACGGGTGACAGCTGGTTGGCAGCCCGCCGTTGTGCATGTTGTCCATGGCGGCCGCCGCGTCCTCCTTCTCCATGTACGTCAGGAAGCCGAACCCTCGGTGCTTCTGCGTCGTCTGGCGGAAGAGGGACGTGAGGTGGGATGGGGAGGGACGGGGAGGGGAAAGCGAGAAAAGAGGGCGAAAGGGGAAGGAGACGGAGGGGGATGGGGGAGGGGTGGGGGTGGGGCGGGTGTACTAGCTGTCGTATGCATCCATAAGGGTGCTGTTTTAAAAACCGATTTATTCGCGGCTAATGTGATTGAATTGTAGGCCAGTGACAAACTACTTGTACAGAAAAGGGGTTCGAGATAAGAAAGAGACAGCATTCGCTACCTGATCAATCGGGATGTTTATATCCTTGATGTCGCCGAACGGGATGAAAGCCGCGTGGAGAATTGATTCGGTCACATTCTCCTCCAACCCTCCTGCCAGCAACGCACGGACGCGATTATGAGAATATCGCACTATCGCAGGACTGACGAAGGGACTGGTGGCGGAAACTTCAAAGTCACTGAAAAATCAATACAAGACGGCAACTTCAACGTCAGCGAAATGCTAAACTTGAAAACATTTAGCTCACGAAATCCACCAGCCTCACCAACATACAACGTTGTTTTTGGATTTGGCGTCGCCATAGTCGAGATGTAGACGGAACGAACAATAGGATGACTACGAAACCGCGAGGTTAGGACGTTGAGATTTGATATGTGATCACCAAAATCGACGTGGCAACTGACTAACCAAGCTGACGACTGGAAGATGGTCCGCCGGCTGGAGCGATACCAGCAACTTCGGCTACAGGTGAGGTGAGGACGAAGTGATAGACAGGAGTAGATCTGAGCCTTGTGCTTCCCGGAGGGCCCGAAGGTCACCAACAACGAGGAATTCCGTTTTTGTGAAACAGTACGAAGTGGAAGATAAGAAATATGTTCAGTGTAACAATTTCAGAAAATTTCTGTCGCATGGACGGTTTTCTGGGTAACATGGCTTCGCCATGCCCATCATTCCCTCATCCATCTTGGGATTGTTCCGCAGCTGACGCATTTGGTCTGGAGCAAATGATATTCCACGTGGCTCGTGATAACTTGTCGTGGGGATGCTAGTCGCAAACGTGTAGGGGCCCAGCCTTGTTGTCCACTAGGATGGTGCGCTTTCGTCCAGCACACTGACTCTGCTCCCACGCTATAGGCGAAGCGGAACCCCACATCGCCAACTCATCGAGGAGGCCCGCGTGGGGTGAGAATTATGGGCATTCCTGCGCCTCGACAGTTTCTCCAAAAGCATAAACATGAGGCAAATGTGAATGCGTGCTTCCAAGCTTGTGTATCCATCCCGTTCCTGCTCCCCCTAGCACGTCCTGCTTGAGTTCCCAAAACAAGGCTCAAATCCTTGTTGATCCGTTCTCAAGCAATAATGGCATCCACCACAATCGCCGCTAGCCAGTTTAAGGTTGTCGCTCTCAGTGGCCTCGTCAGCAGGCAGGAACAATGCGCTGCTCGCGTGGCGCTCGCTCCGTTGAGTGTGAAGACCCGCACTGCCTCCGTGCAGGCGCAGCCTGTGGAGAGGGCTCAAGTTGTTGTCGCCCGGGCTCAGGCGTCTTTAGCGGATGTTGCCAAAAATCAGGTAAAGTAACACATTGTGCGCACTATGATGTCCGTAGAATGTAATGTCAAGGTTGGTCAGGCAATGTGAATCCGCTTACGACTCGTACCCGGAATGAACAAGCCTTACCATGATGTTATTCATGTGGATCGAATTCTCTGGCAATGCAGGCTGATTCTGCCTCAACCACGAGCACGACGTACCACTTCATTGTGGCGAACGCCAAGTTCATGCTGGACGAGGAGGAGCACTTCCAGGAGCAGCTCAAGGAGCGGCTCAGGTGGCTGCACGAGCAGGGTCGCCCGCAGGACTTCTGGCTCGTGTACGAGCCCGAGTTCCTCGCGAGCTTCCCCGAGATTGCCAAGCGAGTGAACAGGCCTGCGGTGGCTCTTGTCACCACCGACGCTGTTTGGATGACGTAAGTGTTCTTCAACTCTCTTGAACGACAGTTGTTCCTGATTTTGGGACAGGCAATACGTAGTACGTACGCAGTGACCTACAAAGGAAGCCATGCGGTACGGATTATTTTGTCTGCTGTGTAAACCAGAGCTTCTTTGAGACGTCATGATATAGGCAGGTGTGAGCGAGAGGATGCACACATGGTGGTCACGATCACTCACTCTTGCCCGACTTCTATTTTTCCCGTCCCTCAGATTCATGAAGCTGCGATTGGATCGAGTTCTCAGGGGCGAGTTCGAGTGTGACTCCCAAGATGAGGCCTTGAAATCACTTCCCATTGAAAACAACTACAAGCCAGCCAAGTGGGACGCTCCTTATCCCAAGTATGAGTCTAACTGGTGGACACCGTACGCTGCTCCCTCGGTTTCTGGGAGGTCTTGAAGCACTGAATAAGTGATATACCTAGTACTTTCTGGCATCGATTGCACATGGGGACTACCTGGGCAACTTGAGATGTTGCACGTGAGCAGTCTTTTGCTGCTGGTGCCACAAGGTAGACAACGCAGGGTTATTGCCAAGATGTTCAACTTCTTGAGCCATGCAGGCTCGAGGTTCATCCAGCGGGGTGGCCACTGCTTACTGGTAGCTTCGTGATCTCCCTGTGTACAACTGCATATAATGCAAATGCTTTTCTCGTTTACCCTAGGCATTAGGCATTGCATTCGATGGGTGGAAAGAACCCAATCTATTGACAGTCAGGCCCCACTCATAGTGCTGATTCCCATTTGTTCAATTTGTCTGCCATACCAATGCCATTGCACCTCCCATTTTGATCCTAGGGCTTTCCCTGTTGCCTCCTGCCTTCTAGCCGCTTCATCCCCATGCTACAATGTACTGGGTTCTGTACATATCATCTAGATGACACCATTCAGCTCGTAAAAAAGACCCTGCTCTTGTTTCTCCCCTTAATGGTCAATATGAATGGAATACAGTGAACCATGGCAACAAGACGGGATCCAAAGCTGTCATTAATAGAAGTAAACCCATTTAGCCATACACCCCCAACTCATTCCTGCTAGAGTCTTGTTCTAGTAAGCGCTTGATCCCCTGCGCTATGGTCCAGTGAGGCCATTGCAGCTTCCAAGGTCAGCTCAGGCTGAACATCTGGTTCATCGACCCCCCCAGTCTCCACAGCCAAGGGCTGACCAATCTGCACCTGTGAGGTCGGCCTCTCCAGTGAGATATGTTGCTCAACCCATGTCTCGATCATGGCTGCTGCAGCCTCAGGTTGATCAGCAGGCACTTGATGTCCAGCACCAGTCACGATCACATGAGTCAGATTCTTCCACTGCCTCCAATATCCTTCTCTTTTTCCAGATACAAGCCACACCATGCGCTCGGCATTCCAGAAGCTGTCTGTACCTTTCCAGGACAGAGAGCGCATCCATGCTTCAGAGCTGGCAGGCCCATCCTTAGCATCAAACAGGCCCTGGAACAGCAGCACAGGAACACCTGCTGCAAGAATACGCTCCAATGCTGGTTTGCTGCTCTTCATTGTATCCTGCACAAAACCAAATCGTGCGATGAAAGACAGGAGACGTACGAAGATATGGGCTTTGCTCAATGAAAGGACGTTAATGCTGACTAATCTAACTGAAACACACACCTGAGCAAGGTGGAGGCGAATTGGTGGTCTGCAACTAGCCCAAATGACACTTGGTTCAGTGTGGAGGGCTTCCTTGACATGAGGCTGATTTAGAAATAAAGAAAGGTACTCCACTCCACCCTGAAATCGGATAAGCAGCAGTTTAGTAAGGTGCGTGATGAGATAACAGTATTTTGCTGGCAAATTCATGTCACTTGCAATACTTGTGTGGCATGGTATTTGGCATGTCGTCGAATATCCAGCAGCGTTGGGATTCCCGCTTTGTGCTCTATCCATTCACATAGGGCGGTGCGTGCATAATGTGCCTCCTCCCATTCTTCCCTGTCCATTGCTCCACCAAAGTAAGATGAAATTATGAAAAAACAGTACCTGTCAACAAGGTTACAAAAAAATATATACCTGTAAATAAGTTGAACCACCCTGTTGGCCTCCTCCTTTACGTAGTCTGCCTGTTGGCCAGTAAGAATGCTGAAGGCCCTAGCGACATGCTCATGAACTTGCACCTGAAGCAGAACACGGCATTTCAAGTCCCATAAATTACATAGAGCAGCCGCAAATATATAAGACGAGGGCGGGAAGGAATGTACCTACCTGAATCCGAGGGTCTGTGAAGCCGTTCCCAATAACAATTCCTGCAAATCTTACTGGGAGGCCCTGGCCTCGTTGCTGCTGCTCCATCACCAAGCAGCTGAGCTCAGGCACATACTTCCCTGCATATGACTCCCCCGTAACAAAGAATGGACGGTCACACAAGCTCGGATGCATTTCAAAGAATGTTGAGAGGGCATTAAATAAGTGCTTTGCCACTGTAGGCTGGTCTTGAGGAATGTCCTCAATTCGTCCCGCGACACTAAACCCTGTGCCAATCGGATTATCAATAAATAGCAGGCCGTATCTGCCACACATAATCAAGGCGTCAGTTGGATATCAATTCTGCATTGAATGCGTTTGTACCATGAACCACCAGCATCGTACCTTCTGTTCCAAGCCCATGGGTTCTTTTGCAGGTGAAGGCTGTCAATGTCGTCATCTGTTATATCGACTTTCCAGGGACCAATCTCATAGAAATTGCCAATCATACTTGAACAACCTGGACCACCGTTCAGCCAAAGAAGAAGCGGAGTCTCTGAAAGCGACCTTGAGGGTTCTGTCGCCTCATAGTATGTATAGAACATACGAGACTTCGGAGTGGACGTGCTGACGGGAAGGTATCCTGAACACGATGGGAGTGCCTCCTTCGGCATAGGCACGTTCAGGTGCGAGCCCTCTGGATCGGTAGTTAAAGGTGAGATGTTTTGAAGAGAAGTATTGCTCGCACATGGAGAATAAATTATAGCCTGCATCGGGGAAAGATCAGATAAGAACGTGATATTCGAAGCCAAGCTGAAAATGCTGCCATGCCAAACACCACCTTCGCTGCTGCCACCTTCGTTGAACAAAGAGCCGGATAGTCTCTTTTCATCCCTGCTCCGACGAGCATATTAGAATGCGAAAAAAAACAAGAGTGGAGTGAAAGGGCATGGCGCGTATTAGTACCGTAAATGGAGTTTAGAGCAGATAGGCTAGAACTAGGTACAGCTGAAGCTGCCATTGCACGGGGACTGAGAACCATTCTTGTTGATACTTTTAAGAGCCACGACAACGCAGGCATGCACACGTCGGTCTTTGAGAACAATCAATGTGGAGTATGCGGATTCGGATAGGTTGAACGCTGTGCGATGGAAATTATAAAACGCGGAACGTGAATGTGAAATGCGGAGTCCAGAAACTGAAAATGGAAGGTTGTGTGGAGGAGCTGAATCTGCCTGAACAGCAGGCGAAAGCCTCAGCAGGAGTTGAACCACGCTGAGGTTCACCAGAATCTGCTGCTGAACAAAGATTATGCCAGCGAAAAAAGTCAGCTGAATTGTTGAGTGACGACAACGCGATCCATGTAACACACCTCGCGACACAGTTCCCGGATTTCGCACAAGCGATGTGGGTTCACTTTTGGCAGGCCAAATGGACACCACGTGTGACACTTTTTAGAGTACTTTTCACATGATATTTCCACGTGGCACATACGATGAGTTTTAGGTTAGCCTCTTTGACCAGGCACGCAGCGGGTTTAGCGAGGGTTTAAAACCCGCGTCTCATATTTCACAACTCCCAACCAAGTGTAATACGCTTGAAACCGGGTAACCATTCAAGCAGTCGCAACTTTGTTGGGTTTGGTTGGGAGCACTTGCGATTGGCTGCAGCCCCAACAGGCTGGGCAAGGCAGATGCACGACTACCGAACTGCATTCGCGCGAAACACACCACATTTTGCAACGACGGTAGAGAACATGGGGAACCAAACGTATTACCACAGCAGGAAAATATGAGACACAAAACTCATCCACTTTTCAAGCCAGCCCTGGACTCTTCCCCACGACTTAGTTTAGGCCAGGGTTTCTTCACGGCCTTTCACACGTAGATTGTCACATTTCCCTTAGACCTGCGTACGTACGGACGGGACATCGTAATGGTCGACCGTACAGGCAAGCGCTCCGTTTGCCTGCGCTTCGTCGCAGCACAGCGGACTATCGAGCGCTAAATCAGCTATAATATAGTGCGCCGTATTTGCCAAATCACGATGTAGGGTCAATTCGATTCCAAAAATACTGCGCGTTATTTGCCGCGAATTGACGAGACTCCATTCTAGAAACCAAGTTTTTCTAGCAGCGTAACCCCTTCTGGTGTCTGCTGACCGTGCTGTCTTCCTTCTCCCACTCGCCTCGACTATAATTCGCTGTCTTTCGCGATGTTTCGCGAACCGTTGTTGCCTTCAACAGGCGGTCAGGAATCTAACACGCGTGCCACGTCAGACTCCGCGGAATCTCATGAGTTTCGCGCGCGCGTGAACCTGACAATACCCCGTGGCGCAGCCACCGCAAACGGACCCCCGCCAAACAGACGCGCGAGCGTCGACTCAGCGAATGTGACAATATCGGAGGGAAGCGACCTCTGCGCCGAAGCGGTTCCGCGGAGCAGGCGGATTAGCTTTGGGAACGAACGTTGGGAAGCGGGATGCTCGGGGAGGAGGGGGAGATGGGGGAGCGGAGGCGCAGGTGGGGGGGAGGGCTTGCGGAGTCCGCGCAGCCCGGGGCTGTCGAAGCAGGAGGTCCTGGGGGCATTTGATGCGGCGGAGGCGGAAGAGGAGGCGGAGGCGGACATAAGCGCGCATCTGCAGACGGACTTTCAGACCGTTCTGAACACGGTGGGTGGTGAGAACCCTTACTAGCACAATAGCATGTACTTTCCTGTGTTTTTACTTTCTTTCTTTCTTTGTTTTTTTCCAGTGATGTGGAGCAATTGACAGTACTTCGCTATGTTCCCCCTGCCGTTGCATTGGGCAGATAAATCTTTTCGTTGGGGCAGGTCTGCTCTCCATGGGCTATGCAGTCATGCTGGGCGGCTGGATGAGCCTTGTGAGTTGGATCCTCCCCCTATTTCCTCCATCTCTCTATCTAGCTCATCCCTCGCAGCCTCGCTCTCCCTCTCCCGCTCTCCACCCCTCCCTCTCCTCCACTCCCTCTCCTCCCCTCGCTCTCCTCCCCTCGCTCTCCTCTCCTCGCTCTCCTCCCCTCGCTCTCCTCCCCTCGCTCTCTTCCCCTCGCTCTCCTCCCCTCGCTCCCCTCCCCTCGCTCTCCTCCCCTCGCTCTCCTCCCCTCGCTCTCCTCCCCTCGCTCTCCTCCCCTCGCTCTCCTCCCCTCGCTCCCCTCCCCTCGCTCTCGTCCCTCTCTATGTTTCGAGCCGTCCATGCTGGCTGATACTCTTCAATCCTTCCTACCTTTGCCCCTCCGCTTTCCCCAATTCACCACAACTCGTTCTCGCTCGCTGCACCACCCTCTTCTGCACCACGGCTCGCCTGCTCTGCCCTGCTTCAAATTACATGCCCTCCTTCCACACCCTTTTCTTCCTCTCTCCCCACCCTCCCCCCCTTCCTCCGACTACCACAGTTCGCTCTCGCCCTCTGCGCGACCCTCTTCTCCACCACTGTTCGTCTGCTCTGCCGTCCGTCTAATCACATACCCTCTCTCCCACCCCTTCCGCCCCCTCCTTCCACCACAGCTGGTTCTCGCCTTCTGCTCAACCCTCTTCTGCACCGCGGCTCGCCTGCTCTGCCCTGCTTCTAGTCACATGCCCTCTCGTCTTACCCGCCTTCCTCCTTCTCCCCAACCTCCTCCCCTTCCTCTAACTACTACAGTTCGTTCTCGCCCTCTGCACGACCCTCTTCTGCACCACAGCTCGCTTGCTCTGTCGTGCATTTGACGCCCTCCCGCCCTCCACCCTGCCCTCCTACCCTGCGCTCGCGCGCTTCGCCTTCGGCCCTCCGGGAGAATGGGTTGTGAGTGCATGGGGAGGGGAATGTGCTGCTCTGTCGTGCATTCAATTCCCTCCCACCCTCCACCCTGCCCTCCCACCCTCCACCCTGCCCTCCCACCCTCCACCCTGCCCTCCTACCCTGCACTTGCCCGCTTCGCTTTCGGCCCTCCAGGCGAATGGGCGGTGAGTGTCACGAACGTTACTCCAGCGTTTCTTTTCATTTGAGATAGGGGCATGAGACTGGAAGTGCGACGAGAAAATGGGCTGTGAGTGAGATGGGAGGGTGGGCTGTGAGTGAGATGGGGGGGAACGGGCTGTGGGTCTCTTGCCAGTTACTCCCTGCATTCTATGAACAGTTTTTGTCCGTTTGATTCGAAAGCGCCAGCCTCCGGTCTTGTTTTTTTGTACTGGTCACTGCCTGCACTCCTGCTTGCCCTCCCATTCAGTTGCATATCTGGGGCATGCTTGACGCATCTTGGCATGTGCTCGCCCCTCTTTCCCCACCTCCTCTCCTTCCATCCCATGTGCTTGGAGTGTGTACACCAAGTGGTGATGGCAGTGCTGTTTAGGTTCTGGGAAGTGCCCAGCATGTGCATTTCCCCGTCCCCTCTCCTGACGTCCTGCTTCCCGTCCCACCCCTCGCTCCCTCCGTCCGTTGTGCCCGCCAGGTGATGGCGGCAGTGCTGTTCGAGTCCTGGGGAGTGCTCAGCACGTGTGCCCCTCCCATTCCCCTTCTTTTTCCAATGTGCTGCCTCTCTCCCTCCCTTCCTCTCGCTCCATCCCATGTGCTCTGTTTGGCATGTCCCCACCAGGTGATGGTGGCAGTGCTATTCGAGTTCTGGGGTGCGCTCGGCATGTGTCTCATCATCGTGTGGCCTCCCCTTCTCTCCCACGTGTGCCCTACCCACTCCCTCCCGTGTGTTCGGCATGTGTGTGTGCACCAGGTGATGGTGGCAGTGCTATTCGAGTTCTGGGGAGCGCTCGGCATGTGTCTCATCTTCCCCTTACTCCCCTCACAAAATGCTTCTTATCCTACCCCCGCCCCTCCCTCCGTCCCTTGTGTTCATCAGGTGATGGTGGCAGTCCTATTTGAGTTCTGGGGAGCGCTCGGCATGTGTCTCATCATAGTGTGGCAGTCCGCCCTCATCTTCCTGCCGCCCCTCCCCACCCTCTGCATCCCCTCCTTCGCCACCTCCGCTGCCGCTGCCTCTGCGCCCTCTGCTGCCCCACTCTGCCTCTTGCCGAGGTAGCTCCCCGTTTTTGTTGTGTTCTGTGGCACCCAAGGCTAGAATCTGTTTTTGAGTCGACTCAAAAACAGCCTCTGCGCCCTCTGCTGCTCCTCTCTGCCTCTTGCCAAGGTAGCTCCTCGTTCTTTCTCTTTCCTGAGGAACCCCAGGAAACAATCTGCTTCACAGCTGGCAAAAGTATCTCCCTTTTCTCTGATTGGTAGCTAGCGCCATGCTCTTCCGTTCAATTTGTGTGCTTCTTATACGCCCACCCCCACCTCATCACCTGCACACATCAGTGCTCAGGTCTTCTCACCGGTCTCACTCCTTCCCTCTCCATGAAGCCAATGCACCCCTTTGATCCCCTTAAATATCTACTCTCTTCCGCTCCCCATCCTCCGATCAACTCTTCTCCCTGTCTCCCCACCCCGCACCCCTGCAGGCACCTCGTGATAGCTGCTAGCCTAGCGCTAGTGATCCCCACAGTGCTAGTGCGCTCCTTTGCTCGCCTCACCAACGTCGCCTTCTCCGGTGTCGCCAGCAGCACGCTGCTCTGCTCCGGTATTTCCTGCCTCCTTTGCTGCTCCGGTATTTCCTGCCTCCTTTGCTGCTCCGGTATTTCCTGCCTCCTTTGCTGCTCCGGTGTTTCTTTAGCACACTTCTCTTCTCTGGTATCTCCTCACTCGTTTCAATCGATAGCGCTCATCCCCCTTATAGTGGTAGTGCGCTCCATTGCTCGCCTCACCAATGCTGCCCTCTCTGGTGTCGCCAGCAGCACACCTCTGGCCTGTATTTTGTGTCCATCCAAAAGCCCATCTCTGTGATCAGCCTCAAGTGCCCTCTCTCCCTCGCCCGCATCAGCCTAAAGTAATGTTTTGAGGCTGACCTT